TTGGGGGGACTGGGGGGGTTTATAGGAGGTTGTGGAAAGTTGGGGGGCACAGTGGGGGGGTCAAAAGGAGAATTCTCGCCTTCAGAGGTGGCCCATAGGGGTCAGGAATGGGGGAGCTATGGGGAGGCTGAGAGGGGTCATGGGGGGTTTAAGGGGGTCATGGGGAGGACTTGGGCTATGGATAAATTAAGGGGGCTTGGGGGAGTCTTAGGGGTCCCGGGGAGTCGCGGGGGCTTTAGGGGTACCCTGACCCCCACTTTTGGACCCCCAGCCCCGAGCAGGAGCTGAACGCGCTGAGTATGAGGAGGTTCTGCGAGGAGAAATTGGGGGACGTCCTGCAGCCCTCCCAGCGCAGGTCGGGGGGTTTAAGGGGGACGGGTCCCAGGTGGCTTTAGAGGTCCTGGGGACTGTGGTGAGGTTATGGGGTCTGGGGGGAGGGGGTGTCAGGGGAGGTCATGACGGGATTTGGGGGAGTTGGGGTGTTTTGGGGTGATTTTGGGGAATGGTTTTTGGGGGTTGTTTTGGGGTTATTTTTGGAGTGTTTCTTAGGGCGATTTTTGGGTGGTTTTGGAGTGATTTTTTGGGATGCTTTTAGGGTATTCTAGGGGTAACTTTTGGTGTGGGTTTAGGGTGGTTTCTGGGATGTTTTTGGGGTGATTCTTAGGGGTGTTTTGGGGTCATTTTGAGGGGATTTTTGGAGTGGTTTTGGGGCGATTTGGGGTTCCACTTGTGCCCCCACCCAGGTACACAGAGGATTTTGGGGCATTGCTCTCGGGGCGACTCCGCCTGAACAGCTCCCCCCAGTTCCTGCACCACGTCCTGCTGCCCCCCCTGCCCGCCTACGACCCCCCTGATGGTCAGTTTGGGGCGGGGGGGTACCCCAGCAACCTCCCAGGGCCCCCCAGTGATACCCCCGTGTCTCCCCCAAGGTTGCCGCCCCTTCCTCAAGATCTACCAATCACTGCAGCTCGTCTACACCTCGGGGGTCTAGTGAGTAACACCCTCCCCCACCCCAAATCTGACCTCCCCTGCACCTCGGGAGGTCCCCGGGGCCTCCCAAACCTCACTCCCTCCTGCTGTGCCTGTTGGGGGCGTCCCGGCCCCTCCCCCAAACCTCACATCCCCCACTGTGCCCATTGAGGGGTCCCGGGGCGCTCCCAAAGTTTACAACCCCACCCCCCAAACCTGCATGTCAGAATGCGAACCTCGACCCCCCGCTTTGGAGGGGTCCAGGGGCTCCCTCCAATTTCCCCAAGTGCTCAGTGGGTGCTGGGGTTTCAGGGGGTACCCCTAATCTTGACACCCCCCCAAAACTGACTGCCCCAAGCCTGCTCCCCAAACTTTAACCCCCCCAAAATGCCCCCCCTTTCTTCCCCCAGCAGCGCCCCCCCCTCGCAGTCGCTCTGTGTCACCCTGGAACCGGCGCTGCTGCTCAAGGGGGACGTGATGGTGAGGGAGGGGAATCGGAGGACGAGGGGGGAGGCCGGGGGGTTCTCAGAGGGTCGTGGGGCGGCTCGCGAGTGGCGTGCGGGGAAGGCACGACCACCCCTAACCTTTGTGTGTGTGGCTCCCCCCAACTCACCTGTCCGTGTCCCCCCAGGTGCGCTGTTACCACCACCGGCGCGGGGGGCGCGAGGCGGTTTTTGGGGTTCAGTTCCACACGGGGACCCTGCGCGGACCCCGCCTGAGGCTGCGCCGGGACGAGCTCGACCTGGCCTGGCAAGGTGGGGGCGCGGGGGAGTGCGAGGGGCTGGAGATCAGAGGGAGCTGGGGCAACTGCGGGCTCTGGGTGGCTTCGGGTTTTGAGTGGGCACGAGAGGACGGGGAGAGTTTGGTGGTGCTTAGGGGGCTGGGGGGGTTGGGGGGAGAGTCCTGGGGTGACTCGGAGGGTGCCAGGAGAGGGGACACAGGGGGATTTGGAGGCACAGATTACGGGGACATGCCCCAGTTCCCCTGTGCCCCTCTCCAGACGAGAACAAGGAGGGCAGACCTGTGGGAATTTGGGCGTGCAGAGGCAGATGAGAGCTGGGAACGGGCGACTGGGGGGATACAGGGGGATTTGGGGATGCAGATTATGGGGACGCCCCCCCGCCCCGCCAAACCGCCCGTCATGCCTTCCCAGACCAGCGCTTCCCCCCTGACGCCACCGTCGAGTTCATCTTCTCCTCAGGCCCCGAGAGGGTCGAAGGTGAGTTTTGGGGGGCGGAGACGCCCGGGGATACCCCGCCGGGCCCCTTTTTCACTGCCCACCCCTCCTTCCCTCCTCCCCCAAGGCTGGGTCCCCCCACGCGGCCCCCCCGCCTCCCCTATCGATTACGGGGTGCAAGACCCCGCGGTTCGGCGTGACTCCTACGATGGGCACTGGGACAGCCCCGAGGGTAAGAGGGGGTCGGCGGGGTCCCCAAGGCATGGGGGGCGGAAGAGGGACCCCATAGCCTGGGGTTTGGGGCACTCGGGGCGGGTCTCAGGGTGCTGGAGGGTGTTGGGGTGACCTGGAGTGTCAGGGGTGGCTGGGGCGATTTGAGGGGCTGGGGGGACTGAGGGTGTTCGGGGGTTTCAGGGAAGCCCCGCGATATGGGAGGGCGGGGATTTGGGGGAGGCCTGGAGAAAATGCGAGGAACTGGGGGAGCACGGGGGGCTTTGGGGGGCAGTATGGGCGTACGGGAGGGGTCCCCCATGGCCTGAAGGGGATGGGGGAGGAGATAGGGGTTCCCGCGGTGTTCCGGGTTGGGTTTTGGGGATGCGGGGAGAGGGGTTTTGACAGCCCTTTCCCCCCCCCAGAGCTCTCCCACACTTGGGGTCCCCTGGATGGGAGCCCCTACGCCCGCGTGCAGAAGAAGGGGGGACCCTCCCCACCCGGGGGGGACTCTGACTCCCCGCCCCCACCTGGAGCCCCCCATGGCCGCCCCCCGCCCCCCACGGCTGCTGAGCGTCGGGAGTTGGAGCAGCTGCTGGGGGGGTTCGGGGTGCAGGGGGGCCGCAAGACCCCCGGCCCAGGGGAGGAGCCCCCTGACACACCTGAACCACTCAGGACCCCCACAGTCTATGGGACCCCCGAACCACTCGGGACCTCAGCACCCTACAGGAATCCCACATCCTATGGGACCCCAATATCCCTTGGAACCCCAATATCCCACTGCACCCCCACATTCCATGAGACCCCGATATCCCATAAGAGCTCCCCCTCCCAGGGGACCCCCACTTTCCATGGGACCCCTGCTCCCCACAGCCTCCTCACATCCTGCGGGACCCTAACACCCCACAGCTTCCCCACATCCTGTGGGGGCCCCAGGTCCCAGGGGTCCCCCACACCCTATGACACCCCAAAACCCTACCGGACCCTGGTGCCCCACGTGACCCTGACACTCCATGGCCCCCCAGCATCCCAGGGATCCCCAGCTTCCTACGGGACCCCAGCACCCCGTGGCTCCCCAGTATCCCCCGGGACTCCAACACTCCATGGGGTCACAGCACCCTATGGGACCCCAATATGCCACAGGACCCCAATATCCCGGGGGTCCCCTACATTCCATGGCACCACACTATCCCAGAACACCTTGTTGCCCAGTAGCACCCCAGTATCCCAGGGGACCTTGATATTCCAGGGGTCACCGATACCCTACAGCCCCCCAGCTGGGACCCCAACATCCCTGGAGACCCCAACACCATATGGGACCCCAACATCCCAGGGTTCCCCATCACCCTATGGGACCCCACCATCTCATGGATCCCCAGCATCCCAGGGCCCTCACACTCCCCATAGCCCCCCACCAGCCCAGAAGTCCCCAACATCCTATAGCCCCCCAATATCCCACGGCACCGCAGTAATCCATGAGACCCTGACACCCTATGGGACACCTACATCCCAGGAGACCTCAGCCCCCCACAGCCCCCCGACATCCTACAGCCCCCCAAAACCCCATGGCGCTCCAGTATCCCCTGGGGTCCCAATCTCCCACATCACCCCAATATCCGAGGCACTCCCAGCCCCCCACGGGACCCTGATTTCCCATGACCCCCCGGCATCCTGCAGCCTCCCAGTAGCCCACGGGACCCCCTCACTTCACAGCCCCACAGCATCCCATGGGATCCAGATATCCCACAGCCCCATCGCACCTCACAGCCTCCCAGTATCCCACAGTCCCCCGAGCCCTTGGGCCCCACCCAGCCCCTGGGTCCCCCCGTGCCCTCCGCTGTGCCGACGAGCCAGCCTGGCCTCCCCCCGGGACTCCCCAAAACGAGGGGTGCAGCGCTCGCTGTCCGAGGGGTTCCCCCCGTGGGGGGGCTACGGGCGCCCAGTGGCGGGGGGGTACCTGCTTTTGGGAGGGCTCTCGCCCCTCTGCCCCTGTCAGGACTGCCAGGGCTGGGGGGGCGTCTCCCCGCTCCCCACCCGCCCAATTTATGGCAGGCATGACTGGGAGGGACCCCCCGCGCCCCCTCTGGAGCCCCCAAGTTGCCCCCATTGCGGCCGGCCCGGGTTGGGGCTGGGGCGGGGACACCCACCTGGAAAAGGGGGCTACGATCCCCCCGCCATGGGGGAGCCTCAGGAGCCAACAGGTAAAGATGGGAGGGCAAAAGGATTAATGGGGGTCCTGGGCGGTATTAGGGACATGGAGGAGATGTAAAAGGGCTGTGGGGGCTTCTTGGGGGAGTTGTGGGGCATTGAAGGGGCTATTGGGAGGTCCTAGGGGGGGATCTGTGGGAGGTAGCAGGGTTCATGGAGGGGGTCTGGAATGGTGATGGGCGGATTGAGGGGGATCTAAAGGGGTTGGGGGTGCTTCTGGGGAGGGTTCGTGGCCACAGAGGGGCTGGGGGGGCCTTGGGGGAGCTGAGGCATAAACTGAGGGAGATTCGGGGGAGTTTGGCGGGTTTAAAGGGGTGACTGGGGGAACCGGGGGGTGTTGGGGAGAGGCAGGGGGCAAAGGAGCCACTGGAGGGAGGTTTTTGGAGGCCCCCTTAAAAAGAACTTCTGGTGGTCGAACTCCCCTCTCTCTGTGACCCCAGGGCGACGCAGCCCCATTGAGGGGATCCCCTGGCCGGACGCCCCACGCGCCCTCCCCGAGTCTCCCCGGGCCCCCTCCCCCGGCAGCGGCCCCCCCGGGCCCCCCCCGCCCCCGCAACCGCCCCTGCCCGAGAAGCGACATCCCCCGGCCCCGGGGGGACCCCGGGACCCCTCCTCACCCCAGCGCAGCCCGGAGGGGGCCCAGGGACACCCCTCGGCTGGGGCGGGGCCGGGCGGGACCCCTCCCGGGGGTACCTTCGTGCAAGACACGACCAAGTTCTGGTACAAACCGGGGCTGTCCCGGGAGGAAGGTACGGGGGGGTGGGGGGAACGGGGCGCTGGGGACGCCCGGGGGATTGTGGGGGGGCCATGGGGGCCAGAAACTCCTAGGGGGTTTTGGAAGGGATGGAGTTTGGGGGGATATTAGGGAGTATTGAGGGGCTGGGGGGGTGTTTGAGTGGGATCAGGGCAACATAGAGGGGGGATCGAGGGGGGTCAGTGAGGGGGCGGTCGGGGGGGCTGTGGGGGGCTGGGGGGGAGAACGGTGGGGGTCGGGGCGGGATTTATGGGGGGAGTCCCGGGTGAGGTCTGTGGGTGGGGGGAGTCAGTGGGGTCTCCCCGTGTGCCCCCTCCCCTCCGTGTGACCCCCGCGTGCCCCCCAGCCGTGTCCCTGCTCAAGGCGGCCCCTCCCGGCTCGTTCCTCGTCCGCCGCAGCAGCAGCTTTCCAGGGGCGTTCGGGCTCGCCCTCAGGGTGGGAGTCCCGCCCCCCCGCGCCACCGCCAGAGCGGGTATGAACCCTCTCAAATCTCTCCCGAACCATCAGACCTCTCCAGTTCCATGAACACCCCCGGCATGCCCCAGATCCACCTCCCCCGCTATGGAATATTTGGGGGCCGGGGGGGGGGGGGGGTCTCGGGCATCTCCCAGCGCTCTGACACCCCCTGAAAATCTCTGGGGTCCCCTGAAAATCACCCCAGATTCCTCAGCAGCAGCCGCCAAAACCACCCATAGACCATCCCCATGCAGTGTTTGGGCTCGTGGGGAGGGGGGGTGTGCATAGATGGGGGGCGGGGTCTGCCAGGTGAGGCTGGACACCTTCGACACACCAAGAACCCTCCCAGATCCCCCCATGGACACCCTCAAATGCCCCATAGGCATCGGGGGGTGCCGTGGGGGGTGGGGTGAGGATCTCAAGGGTCTCCCTGGCGTCTGACTCCCCACGGCCCCCCAGGGGACCCTCAGGAGCAGCTGGTCCGGCACTTCCTGATCGAGACGGGCCCGCGAGGGGTCAAAATCCGGGGGTGCCCCGAGGAGCCTTACTTTGGTGAGGGGGGCTCGAGGGGAATCTGGAGGGGTCTCTGAGGGGGTGAGGGGGGAAGTCAGTGGGAGGGGCTATGGGGGTCAGTGGGGTCTCAAGGGGAACTCGGGGCTTAGAGGGGTCGGGGGAGGGTTGGGATCCGGGAGAATCTGTGGCGGCTTCGGGGAACCAGCGGGGGTTTTGGGGTGCCCTGACCCCTCTTCTCCACAGGGAGCCTCCCGGCGCTGGTGCTGCAGCACTCCATCACCCCCATCTCGCTACCGTGCACCCTCCGCATCCCCCACGCAGGTGGGCACCCCAAAAACTGCGGGTACACCCAAAAACTGTGCGGACAACCCAAAACTCTCATGTGACACCCCCAAAACCCCGCGGGGACACCCCAAAAGACCCTGGGAGCTCCCCCAAAAGCTCCCCAGGGAAACAACCAAAATCCAAGAAGGAACACCTCAAAAACAGCGGGGACACCCCAAAATCCCCGCGGGGACATTCCTGAACACCTGCTGGGGCACCCCAAAAACGCAAGGATACCCCAAAATCGCAAAATCCCAATACCACGGGAGCTCCTAAAACCGTGGGAACTCACAAAATTGCAGGGACACTCCTAAACGGTGGGGACCCTCCCAGACACTCCTCCAGCCCCCCCAAATTCCCCCAACCCCCTAATTTCCCCTGCCAGAGAGTTCTGGACAGTTCGTGGTGGGGCACGGGGTAGTCCCGGCTGCCCCCCCCACACCTTGTGCCCTCCTTCCCCAGAGCTGCAGGAGGGGGCCCCAGATCCCCCCGGACCCCCCAATGTCAGCACGGCCGGAGCCCTCCTGAGGCAGGGGGCAGGTGGGACTGGGGGTACTGGGGCAACTGGGCACACTGGGGCAAATGGGATTTGGGACACTGGAGTGTACCAGGGGCACTGGGGGTGGTACTGGGGATACTGGAGTGGGGGGCACTGGGATGGGGGGGAGTTACTGGGGTGGTGCAGGCACTGAAATTGGGTCACTTGTGTGGGGTTGGCATCGGGACTGGGAGCACTGCGGGAACTGGTCTCGGTTTTGGGGAGGCTGTCCCAGTTTTGGGGAGGCTGTCCCAGTTTTGGGCAGCTTCCTCCTCACTGACCCCCCAGCCTGCTCTGTGCTGTTCCTGGGCTCGGTGGGAACCGAGGCCCTGACTGGGCCCCAGGCTGTGGCCAAGGCCGTGGGGTCCCTTCTGGAGGGGATTGCGAGTGCAGGGGGGTCTTCCCAGCCCCCCTCCAGCTCCGTGCACTTCAAGGTGTCAACACAGGGGATCACCCTGACGGACCGGCAGCGCAAGTGAGGGACCCCCGAACCCCCAAGCCAAGAAATCCTCCAAACCCAGACCCCTCTAACTCCCCCAATGACCCCTGTCCCCCAACCCTCCCCAAACCACCCAACCCCTACATCCAGAGCTCTTCAAACCAAAATCCCCTCAAACACCGACCCTCTAAACAAACGCACCAATACCACCAGTTCCTCAAAACCTCCCAACCCCCAAACACCAACACCTCAAACCCTCTCAAATGCCCCCAAACCCCCACCCCCTGAACCACCAACCCCACTAACCCCCTAATCCTCCAAGCAACTGATCCCCCAAACCTCGACATCTCCCAAGACCAACCCCGACCTTCTCCCCAAACCCCTCGGCACCCACCGACCCTGGCCCAGAAACCCACCCTGCCCGCCCCCCCCCACCCCCC